AAATTAGGAGGAATAATTTGTTGGGGTCTGTGATGAAAAACTATGGGGAAAGGTAGAATTAGGAGATTTTGCAGACAGGGCAATGTGTGAGCAAACTCTCTAAGTCACAATAGTTTTTTGAATAAGATACTACTCCTGACCTCACACACATATAGCCCTAAACCAGGGGTAGGCAACCCAAAACACTCAAAGAGCCACTTGGACCCGTTTCCCACCAAAAACAAAACACTGGGAGCCGCAAAACCCTTTTGATATCTAAAATGAAGATAACATTGCATATATCCTTTTTTACCTTTATTATAGGTGTGTGTATATGTGTGTGTGTGTGTATGTGTATGTGTATATGTGTGTATATACACACACACACACACACACACACACACATATACACATTAAAAATAAAAGTAAAAATATGACTCTTGGGAATATCCATACTATTAAAACAATGATCACCAAGAGAATGCTTTAAGAGAATAAAATTACATACACCACAGGTAAAAAAAGGATATATGCAGTGTTATTTTCATTTTGGATGTCAAAAGGGTCTCTCTCTCCCTCCCTCTCTATCTGCCCTTGGTCTGCCACTCCTCTTCCCCCACTCTCTCTCTCTCCCTCTCTCTCTCTTTCTCTCTCTCTCTTTCTCCCCCCCCCTCCTATCTGCTGCTCACCTGGCAAGCTTCAAGCTGTTGTCCAACAACCTCCGGGGTAGGCAACCTCGTCTCTTTTATGACTCATGGACTTCAACTCCCAGAATTCCTGAGTCAGCCTAGCTGGGCTAGCTAGCTCTCTCCTGCCCTTCCTGCTTCCTGCAGAGACGCAGCAAAGGGAGGAGCTCCGCCCAGAAAGCTTTTCAGCTCCTCGGAGAACACTGTGAGTGCACTCTCTTTTACACATACATACACACACACACACACACACACACAACACACACACACACACACACCCAGACACACACACAAACACACAGAGAGAGAAGCAGGGAAGTGCAATTGCCTCTCTCTGTCTCTGTCTCTCTCTGCAAAGGCAGAGGAGGCTGGGAGCCACAGGGGAAGGCTCAAAGAGCCACATGCGGCTCCGGAGCCGCAGGTTGCCGACCTGTGCCCTAAACCATGATGTATAAACCAAATGGTTGAATTTATGGTAACTATAAGCCAACCACATTTGGGTTTGGTATGATGTGTGAATCAAACCATCAGTTGTCAAGATGTTATTCCATTCCTTACTTTCAGCAGACCTATTTGAGAATAGATTTGTTCTAACTACCTAATTTGTCAGGATATTTTTCAGCAGAATAATGCAAAATATAATGCAACTAAACTATAATCTTTTTGTTTTACAATCATAAAAATGGTTGTAAAACCACAAAAATCCCTACACAAATCAATGAAAAGATTAAAAGTTTTATCTTGTACATGCATGGTTAGTATCAAGAGACAGCGAGCATAAAACTGGACTAAAATGATTGCCTGAAAATGAATGTCATATTTATGTCAATTAGTATATTTCATCTTTTAAGTTTTAGAATGTGGTGGTTGAGATTTGGAGACTCTTGGAGGCTCTTGGAGAACTCATGCTGCTTTTTCTCTCAAATATCTTTTCCCAACACTCAAACCATCGTTCTTAGAAAATGAATTTTCCCCCTAGTGCATAATACTACAGAGATTTGTGTCTAGAATTATATTATTACCATTGTTATCATCCAGTGTCACAAAATTTTCTTCTACAATATTTCCTCCAGATGTGCTGAAACAACAACTCTAGAAAATCCCAGTTTAAAACCCCAGCTATTGCCAATAGATGGGTCAGAATTCTGGGAATTTCAATTGCAACATAATCTTGAATGCATCAGTAGAAATAAGATAAACTGCAGTTTATTGTGAAACAATTTTAAGCCTGTGTGAGAGAAATGTCATAGAACTGCTTTCACACATACTGCCAAGCCACAGAGGGTGGATTTTTACATTACATAAGCTGAAAACATTATGGTTTAATGTTATACGTGAACCAGATCACTAGATCATCTTAAGACAAAGGAATAGCAAAAGTTTTGGCAGCTGAGCATTAATAGCCATCCTCTGTACTTTAGTTTGAAATTTGAGCAGGACTTGGTCCAACATAAAAATTGGCAGTTTTTTTAGAATTTGTTTTGGAACCAGACTTTCAGTTTCCATATGAGTCATCCAGCGTGAGAAGGGTAAATACCAGAAAAGCTTAATCACAGTTATTTTTTTTCTTTTCCTGTAAGAAACATGTTACTTAGGGAGATAATGGGATATTTTGATCTGATTCTCTAGAGCAAAAGATTACCATCATTTTATTGCATTGGTCACTTGCCTTCAGGTAAGATGGGGTGGACAGCAAATTGGCACTGTCCAGAAGTAAACACTTTCCAGCTTTGAAACACTTAGGCTCAGATGTAGTTTTTCACACAATGATGCTTATGTATTATATGCAAAATCTATCCTGGAAATGTATATTAAAGCTATGTTTCTTAAAAGTAAGGGACAGATAAAATATACACAGGAGCCACATCTGGCTCTTAGGCTGCCATTTGACCACCTGTAAATTAGATAAGTCCTACCAAATTAGAAGAGAAATGATGTTCCAAATTTGTGAGCCCCTCCCCCTTTGCAAAATTTCTGATTCATCTGCTTAGGGTGGATTCAGATCACGTAGCTGCTCATACGCTAATTAAATAGGGAAGAGACTGCTTAGATAGGTACAGGTGGCCACTTACCTACCACAGATGAGAATTGATCAGAGATGACATTCTGCCAAGTAGCAAATTGTCATTCCCTGTAGAGCACATGCTTTGAATACAGAAAGTTCTAGGTTTATTTTCTGACAATGAAGCAGGACTGGGGGGGGGAAACCCTTTCTGAAGACAGCTGCCAGTCCTTGTGCAATATGCAAGACTAGTTGAAAATAGTGGCCAAATTCAAATACAATGGCTTCCTATGGGGGTCAATCCAACTTGAAATTGACTTTCACTTGAACAGTGGGGCATGCCTTCCTTCCTATTCCCCAATTAGAAATTAGAGCTATGGAAAGTTCTCTAATTTCTGAAACAGACTTTGGATGTTTGTGGGTAGAGGATGCATTTGTTCTATTGTAATGACCTTATATTTTTAACTTCATAAAAAATAAAAGTGCTTTTCTGGTAGCAATGGAGTTTCTGTCCATCATTCACAATCATTGATTGTGAACCACAATCTCCTTAAAACATATCACAAGCCAAAAATGAAAAACGTTTACCCATCGGGGTACTGCAGCAGGAATAGGAGATTCTCGTTTGTACTTCTCTAGACTGGGTTGCCTATTTTTCATTTCACATTCTATTTCCAAAGTTAAAGTAATAGGAAATAAGCAAACATCATGGGGAAACCCTAGGGCAGAAATAGCTCTAGAGAACAGGGAAGTAGATCTCATCATGATTTTGCAGCTAGCTGGATTCTGTAGTGTCCCAATTGAAAATTAATAATTGGTAGACCATCCTCTTTGCTCATGGGAGTAAAGCGATTAAAACTAATAAATGTTGGGAAAGGGCAAATAAACAACAAAATTCCTACTGTATTCAAGATTTCTTATGTTCTGGAAATGCAAAGAAAAGCAATGGTGTTGCACCTTGAGGGATTAATGTATTTCACAATACTGTTCAAGCAAAATAGTGAGAAGCATCCGTTCTTTGTTCACATGTGAGCTAGTGGAGCTCTGCTTCCTCTTGCCTTATGGAAATCTGAAGGGCACTTGATGTCATAAACATTTTTTGGGGAAGAAGGGGGTGGTGGGAGACAGATCTAAAATAAAATCAGGAAACAGAGAGTTAATGAAGAAAGCTAAAGATTGGGAAATAAATGGTTGCAGTGGAAGCAGACTTGTAACCAGACACTTCTGAACACACCCAGAACAGGTCACTTGACTTTGTTTCTAAGGCAATGGATGTCAAAATACATTATTTTTTTATGCAACTGAAGCTGGAATACAGGCACCTCAGTTGAGTGCTAGGAGTGAAAGAAAGATCACACCTTCTGACCCAGAAGTGTTTCAAACTTTGAGTTACTACTTATATTCACTAACTTTAGTTCATTTCAGTACATACAGTACAGTACACCACAAAATAGTACATGATTCCAACTAATATGTGTTTTAATGATTTAGGTTGCATAAAAGACTTAGGTTGTCTTTTATGTTTTTACTCTTTTCATATCTCAGCAACTAAAAGTGGAATAAAACTATTAAGAGCTAAAAAATTTTACTCTGTCTAGGAAAGTTAAGAATTTTGTCCTTGTTTTATATCTCAATACACCATAATCTGGTTTATTTGGCTTTGGGGCAAACTCAATGCTTATTATTAAAATAGTTTATGATGTAGCAGTTAAGAGTTCTGGTTCTGCTTGCCAAAGTCAACATCTGGGTGACTTTGGCAAGTCATTCTCTCAGCACTAGAAAGGAAGTAAGGACAAACCACTTTCCGAAAACCTTGCTAGGAAAACTGCAAGGAGTCCAAGTAGTCACCTAGAGGCAAGGCTGACTTGCAGGCATAAAGTAAGTGCATCTATGCTACAGGACTGGAAATAAATCTCAATATGCCAAAATGCACTAGAGCAGTGGTGGCGAACCTATGGCACGGGTGCCAGAGGCAGCACTCAGAGCCCTCTCTGTGGGCATGCATGCTGCCGTAGCCCCATTCCTAGGCCTTCAGCTGGGTTTTATAAAACCTTTTTGCTTTAGGCTTCCACCTGTACAAAATAAAAAAAAGCTCAATCAGTCAATTTCAACTTCTGGAAAAAAAAGATCTTACAAAGTTGGAATTGATTGATTGAACTTTTTAGTCTTACCCAATCTGCTGTTACCATCACAGCCACGCCCATCCAATGGGCCACACCCACCCAAATGGCCATACCCACCCAATGGGCCACTCCCACCCAGCACCCTACGATGCATAAGTGAGTTTTGGGTTGCAGTTTGGGCGCTTGATCTCTAAAAGGTCCGGCATCACTACACTAAGAGTCCTGCTTTTTTTTTTTTTTTTAAACTAGTTGATAGGACATTTTAAGAATCTTCCCGCCTGTTTTTCCAGCTGCTTTGCATAAAGGAGAGGAAGTAGGCAGCATTCTTTCCCAAAGAAGTAATCCGAAGCAACCAATCCAAACGTTGGAGCGAGAGAATTTGACTGGCCCAAAAGCTTTTTTCGGGCCTGTTTACTATAAAGCAAAAACTTCTGCGCGTAGACCTGGAGTGGTTACAAAAGGTTCCCTTAAGTGTCGTGAAAAGAAACAAGCCCAGGACTTCATTGTTCTTCCGGATCTGCTTTCTCAAAGGCCAGGCTCCGAATCAGTTCCAAAGGCATCCTCCTCCCGTGGCTCTCCCTCCTTCTCTTGCGAGGCCCAGTTGGACTTATTAAGTTGGGTTTTGCGGGTGCGCCTCTCTTTCGGAATTCAGCGTAGGGCGAGCGAGGCACCGCGGCGGACCCTTTAAGAGCCAGGCCAGGGCTCGCTCGCTGGGTGGGAGCAGACAGGAAGCAACACCCACCGACCCACCCACACCCCACGCACCGACCATAGGAGGGATGCTGCAGCGCTGAGCCGCGGGCGGGAGGCGGGAGGAACTAGAGAGCGAGACAGCCGGGGACGCGGGCGCGCGAGAAGGGGCGGGAGTTGAAGTTGCTGTGTTGAAGGGGCGGCGGAGAGGCCCGGAAGAGAGAGAGAGAGAGAGAGAGCGGGGTGGGAAGAAGAAAGAGTCGCCAGGCCGGGCATGGGGCGCGGCGGGTGCTGCGGTTTGCTGTAGCCCTAGGCTCGGTCTGCGAGAGTTTCCTTCTTCCTCCCGCCCCCGAGGAGAGCAGTCGGAGGAGGGGGGGGGGGTGTCAATTCAGCGACCTGCTTTTCTATGTTTCCTTGCCGGGGTCGCGTGGGGCTACAGCTTCCCAACCTCTCGCATCTCTGGGTTCCCGTTTAAGGGGTGCGCGGGCAAAAGCGGGAGTCAGAGTAGTTACTCAATTCCCCCCCCCCGCTCAGTTACAGAATTGGCTTCGGGCGGCACTTTCTGCAGATTAAACCCTTACCTTCCTCTCTCCTCCTTGAGAAACTTGTTTGTGACCTTTGTTGCCGTTTCGCTTCCCTCCAAGACGAGGGCTGAGTGGTTTCAAGCTTGTCTTTGCCTGCCAGGCCTCTGTCCTGCCCTTTCTGAGGAATTCTGGCTCCTTGTCCCCCCTTTCTCTTCCTGCCTTCCTTCCTTCCTTCTTTCCTCCCGCAGTGTCAAACATAAACACCTGCTGCTGCCGAGAGTAGTTTCCCTTTTTCTTCTGGAGTTTACAGTTTGCTGAGTTTTACATTTCAAAACAAGGTCCCAATTACTGCGAGACTGTTTGGTACTCCCCCCCCCTTTCTGAATGTGCCATTTTTAAAAAAAATCTTCACTTGCCTTTCTTTTTATTTGGATGAGATGAAAGTGACAGTTTGTTTTGGCAAGACGGGGATTGTAGTTCCCTGTAAAGATGGACAAATCCGGGTTAGAGATTTAACCCACCAGGCTCTACAGAGGTACCTAAGAACCAAAGAAAAGGTAAGCACTGACTTCTGCTGTAACACACTGTAGGCAAAGTCACCTATTACTATTCCTTATGCACGGTGATTGGCATTGTATGCATAGGTAGTTTGAACGGGAAAATCTGCTTTTGAGTTTTTTATGCAAAAGTTGCTAATATCAGAAATGGCACTACATAGGTTGAGAGTGTGAAACTTCATCTTTTCTCTCTGTTGTGGGTGTACAGAGAGAGAGCTTTCATATGTGATAGTTGATTCATCTTTAAATCTTAGCATGTGATACAAATACGTGCGGGATCAGACTTAGATATCCAGATCGCATTAGTTCTGTGTGGTGCTGCCCAATCATTAGTGGCTACTGAAACTCAAAAGCAAGAGACTAGAGAAGTATTTTGAAGTACTCTGGCAAATAACCTTTTTTCTGAGTAACTAAAATTGGGAGATTGGATGTAGAGCATTATTATATGACCCTTATTTAACGATACTGATTACCAATTACCAGAAATGGATTAAACTGGAGAATGATGTTTTCTATGAAAGACCTAAACATCTACATTAATGTAGTCATACCATTTACCAGAATCCCAAGAGTGTTCTTCAAAAGCATCCCCTGCTGAGTGATGACTGCTCCACCTACAACATTCAGGTCCTCTTTTCCTGATCTCATGTCCTCTTAAATAATGGATTAAAGTTCCTTGTTTATCTCAGTGATTGGAGAAAGCCCAAACAGAAACATTCTGAAGTTTCCATACTAATATGTCTGGCAATCTCTAAAACAGCATGAAGATGGGGCTAAAATTTTATGATGTTTTTATACTATAAGCTGAGTGTATCAATTTTCCTCCTGTCACTCCCTTAAAGTGCACAAATGGCACAAACCATAATTTTTATTGACATCTGGATCCTGTTTCTTCCATATTATTGATAGTACTTTTTAACATCTGCCCACCTGATGAGTTGAATTTGCAATAAGGCTTTACAGCAGTGGTTCTCAACCTTTCTAATGCCGCGACCCCATAATACAGTTCCCCATGTTGTGGTGACCCCCAACCACTTATACATCACCGGGTGCCAGGGGCGTGGCCAAAGAAAAGGGGAAAAAAATGGCGGACAGCCTTGTTTGGCGACCCCTGTGAAATGATCGTTCGACCCCAAATGGGGTCCCGACCCACAGGTTGAGAACCACTGCTGTACAGTGCTTCAGTACTGGGTTGCCTACATAGCACCTTCCTCTAACCAATTAAATCATCTGTGTCTTTTCCTGAACTCATGAGGTCCTCTGCAGCCATTTTTAGTACCTAAAAATGATTTAAAGTACTACAGCTAGGTAGTAGGTACTATGCTGTTGGTATGCCCCTGCTTGTTCCAAGCATCTTTTTGCCTTTAAATTTGAAGTTCTGGGTAACCCTTGCCTACAAGTCCCAAAATTTCCAGATAGTATGGATTACTACTTTTGATAAATGAAGAATGATAGTACAGTGACTTACTTTTTTAATGCAGAAAATTCTGTTCATTTTCTCAGGGGTCTGTGTGAGCTATTTTAAGTAAGAGTGAACAAAAAGTGAAAAAGTGTGGTCAGTGGTCTGGAATTAGTGGTTGTAACCCATAAATTGAATCTGCCTCGTGGTTCCTTGTAGAGCATACTCAGGTATTGTTGTTAATATGTTACCAGTATGAGCAAATCCTCTTCAAAGACTTGATATTGAAGTGAATGCATTTGTGGTAATTTGTCTTTACCAGACTGTCGCCAGTGTATAACTTCAGTATGTAAATTCTGTCTAAATAAAATGTAAATCAGACACACTCAGAATGTTTATTTTTACTGCTCTGTAAACATCATGCAACTTAGGCACCTGAGTATGTGGCATACCATCAATTTAGAATTGAGCTGATTGCAGGAACATTTTCTTCTTGATGATGATGCATATTCTAGATAATCTTTTATCAAAAAGACCCCTATACACGGAAAGCATTGAGAAAGAATCTAGGGAAAACTCCTAAGCTAGCATTTCTTGGCACTTTAACCTTATTTTGCAAAAAAATATATGAAATGTTTTTATACAGAACAACACATTGAATTTGTTCTAATATAACAGTAAGCCACAAGGATTTTGTGTTCTGATCAATGCTACTTTATTGCTCCTCCATGAGTGACTTTCCAGAGTGACACTCTAAATCCAGAATGTCTTCATAATTTAGTTCAGTATTAGATCTGAACTGGAATTCATGGCTTGTTGCTTTCTTCTTGGGTCTGAGTTTCTTCTTAGCTTTTTAGGAGAGAATCAAGAAGAGGTATGATTGGAATATAACTTGTAAATCAGACGTGCACAATCTGAAGTTCTAGAGTTACATGCAGTCCCCAAATGTCTTGAGCACAGGCTTGTGCAAACCTCCAAAAGTGATTGTCAAATTATAATTTTTAATGGTGAAAGGGAAGTTAGTAAATATTTTATTGAGGAGTGATCATATTAACTGCATTTAGTTAGTATTAAGGACAGATGCTCATGAAATTCAGTTAAATTCAGTTTTTGTTGTTACCCTACTTTTTTGCTCAAAGATCAGGTATGTTCTCAGCAGAGAGAGAAAACGATTCACTGCCTCTACTGTAAACCTACTGTTGATAATGCTACCTGAATTTTTAACTCTTCCACTGACAAAGCTAGTGAAACTTCTCAAAGATGTATCTTGCCACTATCCATTGGAAGATGGCTTTTGACATAGCATGCAAGGTCTGATGTGATCCATCTGTATTCTACTTGTGTAAACTTTAAATACTTGTCTTATAATTCTAATATTAATAAAGAGTTGAATGAACAAGTGTTGAAACAATAAGAAGCTGGAAAGTCTTGTACAATCTTACATTTCTCTGAAACGTATAGCTCTCTTAGAAACTTGTTCATTGCTCAGTTACATCAAGTATTATCAAGTTCAGTAATCTTTTTTTCCTGCAAATTATCTCTAAAAATAAAAATATTGGTGTGAAATCAGAGTTATGGATGGGGATGGTTTTGGCTAGATAATTAAATTTTACTCTTGAGTAGTATTTTCAGAGAGGAAAAATGAAGACTTAGTTTCTTCTGCCTTTGATAAATGTTTTGAGTTATTAGTACATAGTATGTGAAGTGCCTAATTATTTATCTCAAGTCTGAATTGACACTAGTAATTACTTCATGGTAAAGTGAATATTCAGATTCTTCAGTTTATTTCAACAGGCAGTTACAGAATTTAAAAGAAACATTCCTCAGATTGTTAGGTCATATTTATAATGTATGAGGTTTTCCAGTTTAGCTAGTACTCTCAGGTCAATCTTTTTCCTGTATCCTCTGTGAGCAGAAATTTTAAAACAGACATTTTATACTTATAAAAGACTCTACAACATTTAAAAGAGGGAATAAGATGGAATTTGTAATGTAACAGAATACTTATACAATATTGGTGTGATAGATCCACTTCTAAAAACAATGTCACTTGTTACATCTGATGTATTTGAACAAGGTGTGCCTTACGTTAAGACATTATTATAGATCTATAGATAAACTTGGGGAAAATCTAGTGTACTTTGCTACCTATTACACAACATAATTGACCAAATCAGCTGTTTGGGAAAGTTTGTTATACAGTATCATTAATGCTGATACTTTTAAAGGTTTTGCACAAAGATAGTGATGTTAACAATTCTCTTCATATGTAGCTGTAGCTTTGTTTCTGTTTCAGAGAGAGTGTCTAAAGTTGAAAGGATACTTAACTTCTCTTTCTAATGAATACTTTTCAGGTAGTTGGAGATAAATGTATGAATTAAGGTGCAAGGTTGCATAGAAAAGAGCTTGATGAAGAATCATAGGATTATTTCTATTTGTATCCTGCCTTTTAAGAATAAGAATCATAAGGAGCCTGTCCCCCTCCATCTTATTTTAAAATAAGGTTAGCATCCAGTTCAGAACAGTTATAGTGACACTATGGTTAGAACACAGTATTGCAGTGTAACTCTGCCCACAGCCTAGAGTTCGATCCTGATGGGTCTCAAGGTTGAGTCAGCCTTCCATTCTTCTGAGGTGTGGACGCAGATTGTTGGAGGCCATATGCTGACATTGTAAGCCACTCAGAGAGTGCTGTAAAGCACTATGGGGAGGTATATAACTCTGTTATTGCTATGCTAGTGCTAAGAAGAGCTCAAAGTATTGTACTTTAGGAGATAATCTTGTTATTTGTAGAGAGTTGGTTTATTGAAATCAGTGAGTCATTTTTAAGTTTTATTTGGCAATCCATTACTGCTGATTGGCTGGAAGTTTTTGTCCAGTGTTCAGATAGAAATTAGTAAGAGCCAATTAATATATTTCCAAGAAAGAGAAAAAAAAAACATTTTGGGCATAACAAAAAGACTGTACACTAGAGATTAAGCTGCCTTAAAGAAAAAAAATGCTTCAAATTAATCTCCTCTTGATGAATGTAACAATCACTGATATTTTATAAGTGAGTTTAATAACAAGGCTTGGATTAAAACAAATGGTATATTTATGAAAGAATGTGATTCCTTTGCTGTGGCAGACTTTTTTTAAAAAAGACCTTGTCTCTGATTCTAATCTAACACAACCAGAGATCTGTATTTATGATTTAGGGGTTTTGTGTTCCTTTATTTAGAGGAACGAGGATTTTGCTATAACCTGTAATCCAATTAGAAACACTTCATGCTTGCAACCAACTTAATACTTCATGACTATAATTTATAACTGATTTTGCAAGCAGTTAAAGAAAACTAAGATGATTACCAGTACGTAACATGGATTTTTATAAATCAGTGCCAAATTAGCCAACAGGTTAATAGGAAACTAGTTTTTCATTGCAAATGCAAACTACTATAGTTATTTCAAATAATTGAATTTTAGGATTGAATTGCAGGCTACTTTTAGCCCAGCAACCCCCAACCTTTTGGGCACCAGGGACTGGTTCTACGGAGAGAGATTTTTCTGTGGAGCGGAGGGGGCATGGTTTTGCATGCTACCTGCATTCCGTGGATAGGGC